ACTAATTAAACGCATGGCTCAATGCGTCTGCATTAGCGTTTAGCTTTCCTTTTTTTCTGTAGCAAACGTCAAAGTTGAGCTGTTGGAGCATCATGCTCCATCTCAGTAACCAGCCAGTTTTAGCCGACGATACCTATGTGGTACCAGCAACTGCTCGTACTTGCGACGATGCACATCTGTGTAACTACAATATGGGAGTCCAGATTTCTCATAAAAAGAAACATTCCTTCTCAGGTCCTCCTTCTGGACTTCACTTAACCTAGGCTCTAGGTTCAACTGCCCCAAGATTACCTCCGATCCCTTTTCGATTACATCAATAAAACTCAAAATTTCTGCTCCCTCTTCCTCTGAAGCAATCAACAGCAGATTTACGACTGCTTGACGTTGAATGTATGGTTTCCTCAAGTTACTGTGGTAAATTTTGTTTGGCCGCCTTCCTAATTTCACTTCATAATTCATATCGGAAAGCTTCGATATTACTTTGGCGGGCCCTTCCCAATGAACCTTAAGCTTCTTCCCTTTGGACGACCGCAGCAGCATTACCCGACTTTTTACTTTAAAAGCGCGCTTCTTTGCCAATTTGTCGTAGTACTCCTTCGACAACATTCATGAAGCTTTCATGTGGCTTTCCACTAGCGCTTTAATCGAGAGATCCTCACGTTGCTCTCGAATGAGCGTCTCTCGATCAACCCTCGACAGGCTCACTCCAACTTTCCGCTACAGACCAGAGCGTTGCACTCCTCTTGCTCTGACTCAATGGCGCCATGTCGTCTCCCCCTGCTACGGAAACCGCCCCAGTCGCTTCGGCGACGGGCCACTCGAGTGACTGCACAAATGACTCACACGAAGAATTTCGTGTCTGAGGTTCCGTCGACTCGCCGCGTAATCACACAGATCTGCTGCTTTTGAACTTGTTTCACCGCATTGAACAAGATCAAGCTCCCGCGAAAGCTTCCGCGCTTGCGATCGCGTGAGGGCCATGTACGCTAAGTTGGGGAAGAACGATTTACCCTGCTCTTTGAGAAGCTGCTCTGAGTGGTTAGAGAAAAGATAAGGAAAACTATTCAGAAGCGCGACAGACACAGCCCCTTCAGTGCGAAGCTTACCGAATGGGCCTTCAATGACAACTGTAGCGATTGGTAAGCAAGCACTCTGCTCCTCGGCGACCTGCCTAATCCACGCGCATTCTTCTGTAAAGTCATCCGGAGACACCAATGAAGGATGGACAACGTCCATGATTGTCGCTCAGTCTCGAAGTGCTCGACACGTTTTCCCATTCACACTAATTTCTTGGATATACGGCTCCAACAACCACATGTTCTTTTCCGATTCTAGGATTGTTGCAAAAGCAAACTTTTGCTTACAGTTTATCGCAATGTGCCCTTCCTTTTTGCAGTTGTAGCAGATTAGCGGCTTCCGTGATTCAAACGCCCGTGTGGTATCAGTGCGTTGTTTAGGAACCTCACTCGATTTCTCCGCTTCCGTTTGCCCTTCCCCTACAGTGTCCTTCGTAAGAGACGGGTCCTTCTTGAAATTACGGTGTGGAACGGGTTTCCGTTGATCGAGTTTTTTTTAAAAACCCTCTTTCCTTTCATCCTTTTCAACGCGCACTGCCCTGCTATGCACCTTTCGGCGAGTATAATACTCCTCAGCTAACACTGCTGCCTTGTTTAGCTGTACTTCACCAAGTTTGTCCTGCAGCGAAATCTTGACATCCTCCTCGATGCAGCAGTAGAATTGCTCCAATGCAATGCATTCCACCACTTTATCGCGATCGTCATAAACACCTTCGCCCTTGAGCCATTAAATTAAATCATTAAATTAAATTATTTAAACATGAAGCCATTAAATTAAATTGATTAAACATGAAGTCAACGTGTGACTCATTCCCCTTTTTAGCATACTGGAACCTTTGCCTGAAAGCCTCGGGTGACAACTTATAACGTCTCAAGAGCACTTCCTTAACCTCGTCATAGCTCTAAAACGCTTCCCTCGACAAGCAAGTTATCGCGTCGAACACTTCGCCCGAAAGAAGAGCTAACAGGTTCTGCGCCCAAAGAGACCACTCTAAAGCATTTCGCTCACAGACGTGTTCAAACTTGACGAGATACTTCGCCATATCCTCGCCTACTACGAACAGTGGCAGTTGGTCCCGAATTCTATAACCGCTGACCTGAATCGTCGGAAAAGCTACGCTAGGCGCCTGCGAACACTGTAGGATTGCCAATTCTATTCGTTTCAACTCAAGGCGCTCCTATCTCTCGGCCTCCTTACGGCATTCTCACCTTTCAGCTTCTTCAGGTTCACGAACTTCTCGCCTTTCAGCTTCTTCACGTTCACGAACTTCTCGCCTTTCAGCTTCTTCACGTTCGCGAACTTCTCGCCTTTCAGCTTCTTCACGTTCGCGAACTTCTTGCCTTTCAGCTTCTTCGCGGCGTGCTTTGATATCCACCCAGGCCTCATCGACTTCCTCAGCTGACACTCCATCATTCTTCATGATATCAAGGATTGCTTGCTTTCGTTTCGCACGGCGCAAAGTAATGCCAAGTTCCTCACAAATTTCGATGAGTTCCTTCACTTTAAGGTTCTCCATCGTTCAAACTAGCCTCTTGCTGTTTGCCCCTATTAAGATTCTACTTGCCGTACCTACTATAAGTGTACTAGCAAGACGCGCAAGCAATTTTTAACACTCCCGTGTTTACCCCCTCCTCATTAACTTTGGTTTCAAAGCAGGTCGACTTTGCTTGAAACGATCAAAGCTCACTCTAATGCTTCACACAGCCCTTCTCTAAACTACTATAACCTGAGCTAGAGTAGTCTGGTGAACTGAGGGGAAAACATCAGGCACTCACCGCATCGATGTCGCTGACACCAGCCGATCCCACAGCTGCCAATCACTGTTGCGAAGCGCACCTCCGGTGACGTTACGAAGGGCGCCACGAATCTCACCGCTGGCTCCACTGTTTCAAAAGACGGCGACGCCAACACGGTCCCGAAGATGCCACTGCTTCAAATTCCGCCGGGAAGGTCACCAGCCGTTGGGTAGTGTAGGTTTCTCAGCTCGCGACTGCTTCTGCGCAGAGCTGATAGATGAGCGGACGAGATGACGATGAGTTAAACAAGGTTTATGTACAGCATATATATAGAGGCGTTACAAATTCGTCACTGGGGCCGACAGCTTAGAGACCCGAAGAGCCGAGCTCTTTTCTCTAACACATAGGTCTACTGCTCCCGACGCGCCGCAGGGCTTCTTTTATATGCACCGGGTGGATTCTTTGAGTAGCCAAATGTCCAACCAGAAGCGCCGCTGGTCGTGAGGTCAGACTCCACTAATGGGGTCGCCGCTGGGCCGTGTCTTCTCATTGAATCTGGAGCCGCTGCGCTGCACGTGGCTGCACCCAAGGACGAGTGACGTTGCCACGCATTGCGTCAGACTCGCCAGACAGGAAGGCGCCGGCTCGCTTGGTGAGGTGACTCACTGCACGTGCGCGGCAGAAAGGTGCCGTCGCGTGATGACGCCATTGAGTTGTTCATCGCGTCAGGCGAGCTCGCGTGCTGGCCTTGACACAGATTGCCTTTTTCAGAGGCATGGACGTTCGCTGTGGACTCGCAGGCATAACAATGGAGAACCCTACGTTTATTTAGCTTTCATTTTTTTGAACTTCCTTTAATTCGAATAAATTTTTGGGCCCCTCCGAGTTAGAATTATCGAGATTCGACTGTATTTCTCTCGGACCTGATCAAACGGTACCTTGTCAAGCACATGACTGAATTCCTTTGTGTACTGCTTTTTTACAAGCAGGCGTGCGACGAAAGTGGACACAAGAACAGCACTTTCGTACAAGCCCTCAACCACTACCCTTTCAATAGGACCTCATAACATAAGCACCTTGTAAAGCAAACAGTAGTCAGCTCAAAGGTTCTACAAACTAAAAGCCACTTATTGAAATTCAGCAGAATCTACTAAGTGGTCGGCTCTTGAAACAAGAGCCATTCAAGCACAATATTATAACAGATATGGCAGATGCACTCACATGTGTTATTTCCTGCAAACGAAAGTTCTCGTGATGCCTGCTTAATTTATCACAGCCCACTGAACAATGCAGGAATTTAAACATTGTTGCATAAAGCGTATGCAAAAAAAAAACTGTTCTATGAGCCCACTTACGCACCAGTGGAAGATGGGTATTGAGCCCTGAATTTGGGCAGCAGGCCTCTCTCTGTGTAAGCTTTCATGGGTAAATGATGTAGTGTATTGCTTCCCATTTTCTAGGGGGTGAGGTTTACAACGGGCAGCTGGGGAAGTGCATGAATGATAGGCTAAGAGAACATAGGCAGAAGTTTGGCCAATATCGGTATGGGCATCTGTGCATTCTAGTGATTGTGGATTCAAAGCTTTATTAAAATGATTGATTGATTTGTAGGGTTTAACGTCCCAAAACCACCATGTGATTATGAGAGACCCCGTAGTGGAGGGCTCCGGAAATTTTGACCACCTGGGGTTCTTTAACGTGCGTCCAATTCTGAGCACACGGGCCTACAACATTTCCGCCTCCATCGGAAATGCAGCCGCCGCAGCCGGGATTCGATCCCGCGACCTGCGGGTCAGCAGCCGAGTACCTTAGCCACTAGACCACCACGGCGGGGCAAAGCTTTGTTAAAAGAGTGCACCACTGTGTAGAGGAATGCTAATAAGACTATGTCAAATGTTGTTGAACCTGCCTTGATTGTGAGCCGGGGAAATAGCTGTGTCAATCGCCAGTCTGTAACACTGAGTGTAAATTGACCTTTTTGAATGTGGCAGGTTTTCATGAGCGATGATTGGACCTTCTGTGTACGAATCTATTTACACTGCTGCTTTTTAAATTAAACAACTAGTTGAAAGTTTGCAGCTGCCTTGCTGTCTCCACGCTGTGTGTGAGTGTACTTTGACCTTTCTCTGGATGAAGGAAGAAGGTTAGCAATGCCATCGTACGTGCATTTACAAATCTGCCATTTACCTTGTGCACCTTGGTAAGTCGTGAGTCGTACACCAAGCGCCAGAGCAGGCGACAGAGTCTCACAGGAAACCACGGTAACTGAGAGCTCCCGACACTCCAGCTCCGCGTGCACTTGCAGGACTCCCGTCACCTCGGCCGCTGGGCTCACATCGGGCCGTTCACACTGCATTCCATGGGTACGACAAGCAGGTGACTCTGGTCCCATTGCCAACGAAAAATTTCACCAGCCTAACCTTTCACACATGGTTCAAAAGGTCGTCTTCAATGACAGACAATCTGTGCATCAGCATGCGTGCATTTTTAAGCTTTCTCCCATACCAATCATCACACGATAAAGAACTTCATGATAGAGTGCTTAGCAGTAGCACAATTCTTGCGGTCCTCTTCCCCGAACTTTATAAATGTGAGCTTGAATTTTGTCATGCATCTAATTATTGCAGCCCATCGCAAGAGAACAGTGAAAACGTGATGAACAGATGGTGAAACCTCAACTTTCAAAATAAACAAAGCGCACATTGCGGCGCGGATGCCGAGAAGAAGAAAAACAGTCAGCGTCAAAAGCTCTTGCAAATAAATCCAGAAAATTAGTTTTAGAAAAGTATGCGAAAAGCTTGCCGACGTTACAAGCAGATCGTTAGCATTCGTCACTCAATGGGAGCCCGAAGAGAATAGAGGTTAGTGTACAATGCATGCGGAACGTGAATGCAAAGCTTTGTGTTGCACTGTTCGAAAACTCTCTAGTGTCCATGCCGTTATACAAGCGTGCAGTGACAAGGTGAAAAAAATGGGGCAATGGAGCACACGCTCGAACAGCAACAGGTTAGGGTGTTCAGATCAAAGAGGTTACAAAAATTTCCTTGAGTGGAAGCTTCCAGTACAGTGAAACCACCGCCAGCCATCTTGTGGCGGGCAGGAAGGTGGCCACGTAATATATAGCGTGTTTCCGCAGCTATTTTTTCCGCAAATGATTGCATTAGAGAAGTAAAACTAGCCCACATACCCCAGAAGCTGATACACTGGCAGCATTTAAAAAGACCACAGGATGGTTTGTAAAGACCTAACTTCATCTTTCACAAGTTGCAGGTTTTGTTCCTTTGTCCTGTGGTGCAGCCTGATCTTAATGTAAAGCTCTAATATTTGCTCACTCATGTTGTAAATATGACTGTCCAACATGTCGACGTCAAAGAAATGTTCCAATTGTGAAAAGCACCTCTTTTCCATTCACTGAGCCAGCATCTCCAGCACTAGTAGTTTGGTATTGGCATAGTGTATATGTTCTTGAGGTGTTTAGTGAAAGCCTACAGGCGGCTTAGCCTTTTCTCAGCTGTTTCACACAGTAAACTGACACGTCTTCAAAAAAAATGAAAAAGTTAACCTCGAGCTTTTACAAGGAAAGCTGTTGTTTACATGCGCGCCACAGTTGTCTGCCGCGGCCGCTGCCAGTGCCCGTAACCGATATCACACGAAATAACAAAAAGAAACTAAATAAGACAAATTATCCAGTATTCTACCACAGAGTGATGTCGGTGCTCAAAAATCCTGTGCACAAAAACCCTATACTACACTATACATTGTCTTCATGTGCTAGTGTTTCAAGTGATAACTGATGTGCGTGCGATAAAGGAGAAAAGTGGTGACTGTATTCAATATATAAACGCTAAAGGGCTGGTACACCAACTCCGATATTTTTTCAAAGATTTCAAGCAAATATGCGCATCATGTACAGAATCTCATCCCGATCAATAATTCTATACGTGACAGCACTAGTTTTGTGTTTGCGAACACTGCTGTCATGTTTCCTCTTCAAAAGGACTTCTTGATACAGATCAGGCGGAAGTGTGCAGCAGTTACGTGTGCTGTGGTATGGTTGAAAGTTGCACATGTTAAGTGGTGAGAGTTGCACCTAACAGCTTGTCGTTTTTAGAGCTCTCCCAAACCAACACTGAGACAGGTCAATAATGAGGAGCCTGTAACTAATTATCTGTTGCATGCTACAGCAAATGAAGTGTCGTGTTATGGCTAACAGGCCTCCAGTGACACAAAATGTTGGTGTCAATGCCCCTTTAAACTGGACAAAGGGGTATATACAACTTCACTAGTCGCTCACATGGCTGCGGCATCACACGTGCGTGGGTGCGCGCATTTGTTGTGAGAAATCTGTGCCTCTTGTAACTATCTTGCAACTACAATTGAGTTAAGTGAGGTAGAAATGAGCTTCAATCCCAATAGTTTGGACAGTGATGTTCTTTTGCGTCAGCCTGGGACATCGACAATCGTTCACCGGTTGGTTTCATTTATGTCCTCAAGGGGTCTTCTCCACGGTGCATGCGTAGCTGCTGACCTTTGCACCCAATCTTAAACCTACTCTGGTAACGTGCCAAGTCTACAAATCTCAGCGGAGGTGACCAATATCGTCTGCTAAGATACATAAAAGTATGCTTGGATGCATATTTCAGAACGCTAATGTAGCGCCAACCTAGTTCACACATGGTAAGAAGTGACCCCTGAAGAACTGGTGATGTTCATTGGACTTCTGATTTATATAAGAATTGTTCACACTGCGGGCCACTATTCCTTTGAAACACCAGCAAGCTTTCCTGGAAAAAAAAAAAACTTGCAAGAAGTGCGTGAGTGCAACAGTCACGAATCTCCAGACAACAATCGGCCAGAAGGAATAGATGAGGCGGGAGAGTTGAACAAACACATTTTAATTTCCCACTAATGTGACACACACACTATCCCAAAACAACTGCGAACGTATAAAAATGGGCACAGTAAATAAAACTAGCTCAAAACCAAGTTATCACATAGACAAGTAAAGGAGCGAGCAGCTAGGAAGTATGAAGTGATTATTGCTTTCGCACTCGCAGCATTCTGTGGCGATACATAAGGAGAGGCGTTGCGTAAAGCCCGAGTGTGAACTTCAGAGTCTGAGTCTTTCTTTGTAATAGAGCACGAGCTGCATTGTCAGTCACTTTAGAAGGCTCCGAGTTCGATGACCAGCCCATCGCACGCGCTTGAGCTGGTCAGCGCCATCTGCTAGGGACAGGACTTGGCTCAGACAAGGCCTACGGTGCGGTGTGCTCGATACACAAGTCGATTACACTTTCTGGCTGCTGCGGCTCGTTGTGACTCCCATGCGGTTCCTTGGACTCGTCCTCCAAAAAGCCGGAGTCTACTGTGCGATGCTATAGAACAAGAGCTGAAGCACCCGGAACACAAGCAGGCAACCCTCGGGACCAGCTCACGGTTGAACACCCAGGGCCCTTTTACACACGTCACATTCTCATTCATATCTTTGACGTCATCATTTTTTTCTTCTAGCCTTGCTGTTATATGCCCCACAATGCTTGCAGTCTTCTTCTTTTATCGCATTCATCCTGTCACCTACTACACTCAAAGACGGATATATCGAACTCGATGGGGATCGCAAATTAGTTCGATATATGAAAAATTCGATATAAAAAATAGAGGCCTTGAGAGCTTACCTGCAGTGGATCATCACCTACAATAGGCGCATTCAAGAATGACAACTAATTCCGGACACAAGCCGCAATGGAATGATTTATTTTCATGAAAAAAAAAATCGCTAAGCTCAGCCTGCTTCTTCGTTTTTGAAATGTTGAAGCCACTAGTCTCAATCTTATCAAGGCTGTCTAGGTGCGACAGCCCGGTTCCCTCTATGTGGCCGATACAACGGCGACTGATGCCAAATGCTGCCTCCACTTCAGCGGCAGGTACGTGCCCGTAGCCAGCGCCTCGTCCGGAAGATCCTGGACATTGGAGTCTGCTTCCACGAAGTCGTCCGCAGACACTTCGTGTGGTACTGCTGCCGGGAAGCGGGACGACAACTCGCGAAACACGTCGTCTAGGCGCTCGTGGTCATCCTGCGTCAGCCTGCGTTGCAGAAGCTCTTGACCACTGCGCCCGTTTTTGTCTCCCCAGGCATTGAAGATCTCCACGGGAGAAAACTTCGTGGAGATTTCCGGCCACTCCTTCGTCATCCACTGCTGGGCGTCCTGGCTGCTGACAGCTTCGCTCTCCCCAGAATTGGTTTTGCCAATGATGTTGTAGCGCTCTTAAATCAGTGAAGCCACCCACTGTTGTCGGCGAAGTTGTTTCACCGAGTGCAGCAGCAGACCATTTGGCCTTGGCAATCAGCATCGGACCATCCACCAAAATGTTCTTCGTGCGCGCACTTCTAAAAACTAGGCATACAGTGCATTTTCTGCATTCCCATGGGCAGAAGCGAGCAAATGACAGGCTCCAGACATTACCTGCTCCGCCTTTTTTGCCTTGATATCTGCCTTGTTTTTCGACAAGGTACTCGGAGTGCTCCATGGTACCCGAAGTCGTCCGCGACGATCAAACATTTCTCGCCCACCTCAACACACTGAATAGCCCTCAACTTCGTCGCAAAGTCAAGGGCCTTGTGTTTTTTGATGCTGGCCAAAACTACACAAGAAGTGCCGTTGTCACATAGGATGGAGGCGCGGCACAAAGGTCCCAGAGTCTCATGTAACTAATCAACCCATCATCATCCATACATCTGTCCCCGCACTTCCTCCCCCCCCAGGGTCGTGTGAGGGGGAAGTTTTGTTTCAGGCAGACGGCCATACCCTGGCAAGGGGGCCACGGCTCGGTGCCAGGCGCCAAGCAGACGTGGCCCGCCTCCTGTCGTAAAAGCCAACGAGACCCGACAAAGGGACTACTCTTCGGTGAAGCAACTTCGGTCGCGACGCACCAAGTGAATATACCCTGGCAAGGTGGGCTATTGCAGCGCGTAGGGCACGCTGCGGTCATGGCCAGCCTCCTGACCGTTAAGGCCCAGCGAGACTCGAAGGGGCTATCCTTCGGCACGGCGACTCTCGGCGCTGCACGTGAAGCGGACATACTCAAACACGTGACAACGTGACTGCCCTTCGGCGCAGTAACTTCAGTCACCACAATTAAAGTGGACGTGCCCTCATATTGTTGCGTGGCTGAGAGCCTGCGACGTCCCCTTCGGACGGATGGGCTATCGATCGGTGCAAGGCGCTTTGCGGTCACGGCCCGTCTTTACCACTAGGGCACAGTGAGATACAATCCGTCTTTTGGGGACGACGGGACTACTCTTTGGTCACTGCATGTAAACCAAATGTACCCTAGGAAACAAGCACGGCT